AAGAGACTTCCTACAATTACCTACTTCAAGGTTTAGCGAGAGACGCTAAGTAAAATGCTGTCGCGGAATATATTTACAATATCTACAAAATGGTAGCCGAAGTGCACGTGGCGAGTGCTGTCGTCGGAGTGAGCGCGGATGCTGGTCTTCTGGCTGATGGTTCTGCACTACTACCTAAATGTAATGCTATTTGGTATGGCTAGAAAGCATTTTTTCAGAGATTTTCCAAGGACGTATCACACTTGGGGGGGTCACTATTTAAGATTTAAAAGTTGGGGTGGCTGGGGCGCAGGGTGTTGGAGGGGGTGCGTCGCCAACTATGTCATTGTGACATTCTTCTTGCAATTAAGAATGAGAAAAATCTCAAAAAATACGTTTTTAATCAAATTGCACCAACATAGCCGGCCGCATTAAACGATTCGTTTAATTATTCATCTTCATTAAGCAATGGACATCAATTACGTACTGCCCGCTTATATAATCCAGATTTTGTTTTAATAGTCGCGACTCTGATGATGTTATCATCACCGGGATGAACTTCGATAACTCGTCCAATTTTCCAGTGCGCAGGAGGTGTATTATTTTTTTTAATTAACACGATAGTCCCTGGTTTGACATTATCTTGTGCTGTTTTCCATTTTGTACGAACTTGGAGATTTCCAAGGCAGTCCCTTGACCAGCGATTCCAAAACTGTTGTAGTTTTGATAAATACTGCCACCTGGATCATCTATTAGTGGGAATCGACCAATAAGGAAATGAGAAGGAGTTAGTACTTGATAGTCATTAGGGGAAGAAGAAAGCGGGTAAAGAGGGCGCGAGTTAAGTAAACATTCTATACTGTTAAATACTCTTCATATGTAAGTAATGCATCGCCTAAAATCCGTTTTAGATGATATTTAGTTGATTTTACGCCTGCTTCTGCTAGGCCGTTGAAATGTGGTGATGAAGCTGGGGAAAAATGCCACTTAATCCCTTCATCAATTAAAGACTTTTTAACTTGAACTGCATTTTTGTTAAGAAATTCAAATATAGTTTTTAATTCATTATTTGCTCCTATAAAATTACTACCATTGTCACTAAGGTTTTCCTCTTCTAGATGGAAATCTTCTAAATGCAGCTAAAAATGCGTTAGTAGAGAGATCAGACACTAATTCGAGATGACAGGCCTTAGTAGAAAAACATACAAATATACAAATATATGCTTTCGTTATTTTGCATCCTCGTCCTTGTCTATCTTTTAATTTAATTGGACCGGAATAATCAACCGCACAATCGGTAAATGGTGGTGACGGAGTGACTGTAAACTTTGGCAACTGTGCCATTATAGGAGCAAAAGAATTTGCTGTGTGTCTACGACAAATCACGCAATTTTTTATTACTGTTTTTGCAGTCATACGCGCAGACAATGGCCAAAATCCTTCTCTTACAATAGCAATGAGAGAATTAGGGCCGCAATGTAAATTCTTTATGTGTTCAAAGGTTTAGTAAAGTAATGTGATCGAGGCAGTACAATTGGATGTTTTTTCTCATATGCAAGTAAAGCTTTACTGAGTCCACCTGTAAGTTTTAGCAAGCCATCATTATCAAGAAAAGGCGTTAATGAATTTAATTTACTACGCTTAGGACATTCCTTTCCCGACAAAAAGGCTTGGTACTCATTGGGAAAACTTTCTTGTTGATTGACCTTTACGATTTTATTAAGTGCATTATTGCGTTCAATTAATGAAAGATGTCCAGTATTAATTTTAGAAGAATTCCGACTATTATTTATAAATCTTAAAACCAAACACATTACATGATACTAGTTTATTAAAATTCTAAAATGTTGAAATTCAATTACTTATTTGATTTTGAAATTGCACTATTGTTAATATTATAGGTTTTGGAGTTTTTAACTCAGGTAGGTAAATATTATTGTCATTGCATTCTGAAAAATACTCCATGGTACTACATAACCTTTCTGGGCCAAACCACCATAAACTATTAGATATTATTTCCTGTGGATATAAACAACGAGAAATTAAATCCGCAGGATTATGGTTTGTTGATACATACTTCCACGAATATGAATTAGTTAACTTCAATATTTGGTAATACGATTCGCAACAAATGTTTTAAATACGTTTAGCGGAGTACTTATCAATCTTAAAACAACAGTAGAATCGGTCCATAAAATGCAATATCAAATTGAATTCGAGACGATTTGAGTACTTTATTTACTAACTCTGAAAGTAATACTGCACCACAAAGCTCAACTTTGGGTATTGTTAATTCTTTAACTGGGGCAACTCTGGACTTTGCTGCAAGTAAATGAATTTGCACATTTCCAAATTTGTCTACTGATCTTATATAACAACAACCACCGTATGCTAAATGACTAGCATCGCAAAAACCATGCAACTAATTTATAATTTTTTAATAACGAGTTACTAATATACTTTGAATGATTTCGGAGCTATTAGATGCCCACTTACGTAACGGCATTTTTGCAGATTGTAATATGTTATAAATGTCCTTTGATGTTTGAATTAATTCTTGGGCAGAATCACATTCGGTTAATAAATCATCTACGTAGAAATCTTGAAGTATAGCTATCGAAGCTTTCGGAAAAATTGTTTGTGACTCTAATCCAAGTTGATGCAAACACCGTATTGCTAAAAAAGGTGCACTTGCTGTTCCATAAGTAATTGTATTTAGTTTATAAGTTTCAATATTATCTTTTGGATCTTCTCTCCAGAAAACTAATTGAAATTGCCTATCTTTATCATCAACAATCATCTGCCTGTACATTTTTTCTATGTCTGCACTTACAACAAATAAATTCTGGCGAAAACGAATCAAAATTTAAGATAGATCTGATTGTTGGTCCAACCATTTGTAAATCATTTAGTGACTTACCAGATGAAGTTTGTGCAGATGCGTTAAAAACGACACGTAGTTTTGTTGTTAAACTTGATTCACGAATTATTCCATAATGTGGCAAATAATTTGGAGTAAAAGGTTCCGACGTAAGTAGTGTCATATGACCTAATTGAATATTCTTGCATAAATTCATTATACTTCTTTTTTAGATTAAGATTTCTATTGAACCTTCTTTCTAAACATTGAAACATTTTTAATGCATAATTTTTAGAGTTTCCTAAATGTTGTGTTGTACAATCCTTAAAGGGAGTTCGTACAATAAGTTATCCTGAAGTATCACGTTTGTACGTAGATTTAAAATGATCTTCGCACAATCTTCTTTTGACCATACACAAATAGGCACCGATTCCAACTCCCAAAATTTTGCAAGTTGTTCTTGTAATATAAAGTTATCTGAAACCTTCACTACATTACACGCAATAGTATGATCATTTTCTTTTGAATTTATTGAGCCTGAAATAATCCATCCTAAAGAAGTAATCTGCAGGACCTATAGGTTTATTAAAACCTAAAGAAATTTGACTTTCACGCAATAAATGCCAAAAGAGAGATGGGCCGATTAATAAATCTACATCTTGCTTAATAATTTGGATCCGCTACCTCTACATGATTAGGTATTTTTAAAGAATTGTTTATTAATCTATCAGGTAATCTTCCTGTAATCTGTAATTAAACAAGAAATTGTTGTAATAAACGAAGTAATTCGCGATTTTATTATTAGTTCGCATTTATTTTGTATATTGCTCACTGATGAATTATTAATTCCTATCACAGATATTCTTGTTGGAATTTTTGTTAGACATAATTTATTAAACATAGGCGCCAAATGTTTCTTCTTGCAATTAAGAATGAGAAAAATCTTAAAAAATACGTTTTCAATTACAATTATAATTTTTAATCAAATTGCACCAACAGTGATTCCCCCTCCGAATTACTAAAACCAATGTTATATCTCGTTTATTTACTAAGACATGGGGGTGGTAAGTTTTCAAATTGCCACCCTGTATATACCAGCGTAGTCCTGGTGATGTTTTGTAGAGCACTGTATGTAATGTCTTCGTGTCCCTGTGCTCTTCCGGAGTGCTGACTTAAAATTATGCACCTTACTTATTCCGGGGTGGCGTGCTGGAGGATGTTGAGGTACGGAGTGGCTAGCAGTTCTTCTAGTTCTTCCATGGGTCATTTGTGTGCTTCGTCCGTTGGCTGATTGTTGGTGAATGTTTGTTGCAGGGTTGCCGCGAAGATTTCCGCTTTTTCGACCGGATCATATATCGCCTCCGGCTGCGTAATGAGGCGGTATTTATACCGGTGGTCTTCTTTTTGCTTTAAGAGCAGCTTGCTTGTTGTTGAGGCGCCGTTTTATTGCCGGGTCTCTTCTGATTTGCCATAGGCGGACGGTTTGGTACTATCTTCGTGCTAGAGTCCATCGCTGTGGGTGTGTTGGTGGCGGTGGTTGTCGCCTGCCTGGACCTCTCTTTTGTCTTTTGTTTCTTCTTGGTGACCCGTTCCTTGCCTTGAACGCTTCCACTTTCAGGCCGTGGCAGTACAACATGTTGGTGACTGTGTGTATATCTGGCTTGCACCAGGGAGATTTTTGAGGGTGACGAGGTATACGTTGCTGTCCTGTCGCCCTTTGGGTTGGATTTTCGTGACAAAGGTCGCGTGGAAGCCTTTCTCCTTAAACTCGGTTGCGATCTCCTCTGGTTAAAGTGAGGATGCTAGCCCTTTGATAGCTACCTACCTTGAGCTCGCATTCTGCTGGTAAAGTGAAGGTGTCGAATGGAATGTTTCCGATGGCAGTCTTGTACCATTCTGAATTGGTTTGGATCTTCCACCAGTATTCTTGCCTCTCTGCCTTGCGCACCGATGTTAAGTGGATTGGTAGGGATCGTCTCCAATTGGGGGGATTATATCCTTGCGGCCCTCGGTTGCGTAGTCTCTTTGGCGGAAGATGTTCTGGTGTTTGCGGTGGCTGTGTACGATCGTGTGTGGTGGATCACTCTCGGCGGAAGAACGAAATTTAGAATTTCTTACCATTTCCACTGCACTGTGTCTAATAATAAAATGATCCGATCCTACCTAATATCAAGACAGCTCCGGAAAGCAAATAGACAGTGACAGTAAATCCCCCTTTTACCTCTTCATAACAAAAAAGTTCGACGGTTAGTATATCAGAAAATGGCACCGGCCGCTCAACCTAAAACGGAATTTAAAACTCCAATTTCCATCATGAAGAGCAAAGAACAAGCATGGGCAAAATTAGAAAGAGCTCCATTCGTAAGTGTTTTTACGCAATCCTGCGCTTCTTTCATTATTCCTACACAAATTCGTCAAATCTCTCGCATTCACGTCTTCTTGCCTGTAGATCCTCTTTCATGCTCTTTACGCTTCCTTCCTCGAATTTTGTTCCTCCACTCTCTATCACATTACACCTGGGAGTCTTCTTAATACTTTCTCCATACCCGATTTTCTAACGCATTGTTTGCGCACACTTCTATCATGTATAATGTTATGTGAACTACGCCATGCGGACGCTTTTATGTCGTGATGAGTTCAGTTTCAATTTTTTAAGGTTAAATGTGGTCGCTAATTTAGATTGAACACAAATTCGATCAGATGATTATTTGAATGTGAAGTTGTTGATTTGTATTAGAATTTTTAGATGCTTAATTTTGTTTAAATAATAACCTGGTATGGGGTTCAGTTAGAGAAAAGCTAATTAATTTGAAGATAAACGTGTTAGTAGCAGAGCGGGGAGACATTTTTGAGTAGGTATTTGAGGCACGCTGAAAACTTGTCCAATACTACTATAAATACCCAAACACAGAATTCCAGACCTGGCTAAGGAGTAGCGGGGCTAAATCAACCCCTTTATTTTTAAAGATACACATTTTTATTTGTAAAAAAATGTTTTTGAGGCATTTCGAAATTTAATATTTAAAGAGCCAAAAAAATCAATAATCCAAATCATTTAGTGGGGTCTTAGACTGTGCCAGCCGCCTTCAAAGTTCGAAAAAATGTATACTGGCCGTATATACATGAACACCCAGTGTACTTTCGGAACAATTGTCTGTCCGCCTGTCCGTTAGTACGATATCTCGAAAACGAATGGAACGATTACGATGAAATTTTGCAGGTGGATCCTTTACCAAATTTATAGATCGCACTTTGTGAATTAGGCCAAAAAAATATTGCAAAAAAATTGCAATATAGGAAGTTAAGTCAACCAGCTTCCGATAGTTAATTTTCATCAGTAAAATCCACAACATGTTACATCCCAACCGAAGAAAGATAACTAAACTAATCTGCCAACGATTTACAGCCCATTGCAATGAAAACACGCCCGCTGTATCACCATCTCCTCAAGAAATGCCATCATCAAGCAATCATCAGTAAAAATTTAATTACATAAAATCAAAGGAATCAAGGAACTAGCGCGAACCTCCAGTGGGGTCAGTTTCTCCTTTGGAATGCCTTGCGGAAGACAATGCAGCATCCAGGATCAGCTCTGCAGCATCTGGATTACCACTTTGTACTGCTAGATATAGCAAAGTGTTTCCATTTCTTGTTTTTATCGTATAGTCCGCTCCTTTGTTCAGAAGATATTCGAAAACAGTATTCGCTGCGACAAAACCTGCCGTTTCCAGTAATGAATCCATTGTGGCTTTTGTAGGCTCACATCTTGCAAAAGTTGAGTTCAACAAATCGACGTCGTCATTCGTTGTTGCTAAATCTAGTAGGGTGTTGCACTCCTTAGAATGTATCGTAGCGTTATTTTCGAGTAGAATTTGAGCTATTTCCCTGTTATCCACACGTAGAGCTACCATAAGAGGCGTATATTGATCTTTGTTTTCCACATTAATATCTGCACCATAACGAATTAACATCCTCAGTCCGGGAACTTGATTGGACGACACCGCAACGTGTACCGGTGTATTCCCGAAATCGTTTTCTAAGTTGGCATCAGCACCGATATCTAAAAGCCTTTGCGTTACAACAATGTATCCTCTTCTTACTGATTCATGAAGCGCAGTATCTCCAATGTTTGGACTTTTTCGATCAAAATATTCTCCATTATCTGCAATTCGTAAATTTACTGCGTTTGTTGTATTTTGAAGAAACTCACCTAGCTCGCTGAGGAGGTTTACATGTATCTGAAGCGAAGGTAAGCAAATAAAAAGTAATGGTACCTTCATGGCAACGGCACACACTCTAATTTTAGAGATCTTCCCACAGTGACCTTTATGAGTTATCAGCAGATATATTTTTTTGATAGGGTTACAAAGATCATAATTTTAATGATTCAGAAACTTTAATTAATATAATCCAAATTGCTTTCAGTTTCAATAATGTTATTATTATCACTGGATGCTATTTTTATCACATTCTCTTTTTACAGCCGGCCCCAGACTTAACAAAGCTGAAGACAATGACATACTTCGATAATCCCATAAACTACGAATTCAAACAAGAATACGATCACTTCTTCGCGTTTACAAAAACGCTTCCACTGTTCGATCACAGGAAAAGAACTGATAATAGAGCTTATCCGGCGGATATCAGAGAGCACATCTTTCAACAGGTGAATTAATTCACAGCCATTTAGACAAACATGCCTTGTCTAGGGAATGCAATCCCGCAGCAAAATCTCAATCCCGGTATTTGCGGGATTGTTAAATGTCAATCCCGCGGGATCCCGCAAAACTTTAAATAAATTGGCAAATAAGCAATTCTGTGCGGTTAACTTCTGTATTAAAATAAATCGCTAATTATCACAATATTTAACAAAAAAGTACCTTCAGCTTAACTTAACTCAAAAAAACCTTACCTGTAAAGCACAAAAAGGTGAACTTCTAAAGTGCCTCAAAAATCATAGTACATTTTAACGAAAAAAGTTTAACAGTTATTTAAAAAATAACTTCTCCGTTATGCGTTTCATTAACAAAGTAAACAGAGTCGTCCCCTTGGTCGACAAATTCCTCAGTCCCGCAAATCCCGCGGGATCCCGCTCCATTTATGTGCGGGATTAATCCCGCAAAAATGCTGCGGGATCCCGGTATTTCGGGATCCCGCGATCCCGGTATTTCATTCCCTAGTCTCAGATCGACCGACTCAGATCTTATAGAATGTGGCATGTAGAATCCATAATTTCAAACAGTTCCAAGATTGGGCTACTAGTTCAAAAGTTACAGCCTTTTGAATTTTCTTTCGAAATTGGCTTGTAGTCTATAACTTTTGATTGAGAAGTCTAATCGAAAAGGTACGAATTGTTTTGGATTCTACGCACCAAAATTAATACGAAAAAGTGTTTTCCCGAGAAATTTTGGTGTAGTCGATTTTTGATAAAAAAAGGAAGGTTATAGGTACACTGCCTTTTTTTTGCCCCGAAAAAAAAATTGTCTCAGATAGGGAATGCAAACAAATCTCAATCCCGGTATTTTCGGGATTGTTAGATGTTAATCCCGCGGGATCCCGGTATTTGCGGGATCCCGCAAAACTTTAAATAAATTGCCAAATAAGCAATTCTGTGCGATTAACTTCTGTATTAAAATATATCGCTCATTATCACACTATTTAACAAAAAAGTACCTTCAGCCTAACTTAGAGCTCAAAAAAACCTCACCTGTAAAGCACAAAAAGGTGAACTTCTAAATTGCCTCAAAAATCATAGTTCATTTTAACGAAAAAAGTATAACAATTATTTAAAAAATAACTTCTCCGTTATGCGTTTCATTAACAAAGTAAACAGAGTCGTCCCCTTGGTCGACAAATTCAATCCATTTATGTGCGGGATTAATCCCGCCAAAATGCTGCGGGATCCCGGTATTTCGGGATCCCGCGATCCCGGTATTGCATTCCCTAATCATGACCACTATCGATCGGATCACGAACATACTACACCCACTGAACGATAGTAAATATTCTACAGCGCTAATCTTTTGGAAGTAGACATAGGAATTTCTATTGCTGGCACTATACCAATTCACAATATCAACTTCTTCTTCAGTTGAATACATCGCACGCGAAACGAAAATAAAAATTCAAGCAGTAATATTCCAATCAATTAATTTGATGGAAAAATCTTCGTTTGTTTTAAGAAGTTATTGCGGTTGCATAAAATTAGACGTAGACATAGGAAATCCCTATGTCTACTTCTAAATGAACATCACTGTATAAACGTGTGAATGTGCACATAAAATCGATGCGATTTTAAAAATTTCATGCAATATCAATTTATTGCCAACAATACCAACGTAACGCATTCGAACGCAATAAAATTTACATGCAAATAGAATTCTGTTTACGTTACGTGTTTGATGGGTTTTAAATAAATTGACAGACGTGTCCTTGCGGCACTGGATTAGCTACGTATACGGGGCCGTAAAAACTATATACATCTCATGTAATTGAACCTTATAAACGTAAGGGCGCCTTCGCAAATAAAGCGTATTGATGCGTAAATTTTTAACAAGACGTTATATTTTGTACACAAAATATACCGGTTATTAGATTACATCGATTGTGAGCTGATCTGCGTTAATTAACCGTGATGTGCCAATGATCCACCGTTACATGGAGGTTACTACTGTATTGTACCTTAGGTAGTGTTTCTAAACCACAGTTGCCCGTTTTCTCCTTTTACATCTAAAGCTAACCCACGTTTGCCTTTATTGGAGCTGGAAGAAAAAAATGTACTTGTTTTCCAAATTCTTTTACACGCCACAATATCTGTATTAGTAAATTAGCATTTTGTGCGGATGCTGTTCTCTATTTCATCCGAATATTGAATACCAGAGATATTAGGGAACGGTGTAAGATACAAACAGCGTGATATTGGAAAGCAAAATACGTTCAGCCTTTACTGGTTTACATTTTGTAATATTGTGTATTATTCCTCCAGTATCTAATTAAAAACATGCCCTCAAAAACAACAATTACAAACAATGACATTTTATTCGTTTCCTCTTGCGGGCGGACGGAAAACCGCAAAGCTTTACCTTTTCTTTGTGTCTGCAAGCTTCGGATTTTATAAGGATGAATTCGTAGGATTTGTTTCATTGAAAAAATTGACTTATTTGAATGACTCGGTTCGTTGCATTAAACTGATGAAGATAACGCAGAGCTCGAATTTTGACATGAAAGTGACTGTATAGTTCTGATTCTATAATTGGTGCCTAAAACAACAAACTGAACCAAATACGTATTTTATTTCGGTATTAATCTGAATTGCTTATAGTTTTTTCGAGAAAATTTTCGAGATCCTCGAGTCGAAATTGAATAAAAGAAAAATGAAAGCTTTCAGATAAGTAATGCGTACAGCATACGCTTTTAATACACTTAAAAAGCACAAATGAACAAAAGTGGGTCAAATTAAATGGAATATGGAACGTTTTTGGAACAAACAAAACCTAATGCGCTTGTAAAGCTTGTATCAGATGGCTGCATCCGTTATTTACGTATTGCTGCAAATAAAATGGAACAATATATTTGTTCCTAAGTTTGTAACTTTTCCTTTAAAATAGCTTTACTCGATTGTTGTAAACCACGAGGCATAAAGTTCATAAATAATATTCTACAAAAAACCATTGTCTAACTTTTCTCATCCCTACAGCACACAAAGATAACTTGAACGTTACTTGTGGCGAGTTTTTGAGGCGAACATTAATTAACCCATTACATAATGTGATGCAGAAGTAAATAGTGTGTTTATTTTTATTACAATTTTGTGAGCTTTGGCAGGATTTCAAGACGCATTTGACGTTAACTTGTCGAGCTTTAAAAATGAAGTAATAATTTTTTTGCATTTTGGTTGTTTTGTTCTGCCAGATGTTTAATGATGCGGATAAGATAGATTGATGGAATACTCATCGGAGCTTTTAAAAAACTCTCCCTAGTACTTGTAAATGTAATAAAGTACAATTTTCTTTGGTTTGCGCTACGCAAGTCATCAATTCTGTTTTTTGAGGAATTTTTAATGCCAACGTATTACCAAATAAAAAACACTATTTCAAACCACAATATATGTACGGTGGAATTACTTGTTTATGTTAGAATGATCAATGTGTTTCAGAAAACATAAACCAAACCAAAAATCTACTGAAATGGGGTTTTCGGTTACTTGTTAATCGAAATTGTAGTAATTTATGTTTGCATTTGGACACGTCAAATTTGATATCTGTTTGCTATATTAACCAATCAAAATTCATTAGTTTCATAACGAACAATTATAGAAGTATAACTTCCGTAAATATGACTGCGATATTCTGCGCCAAATGGATTGAATTACCCAAAAATGCCATCGGGTTTATCAAGAAAAAGTACAAATACATTTGTAACATTTTGTAAAAACTGTGTTAGGGATCTCACCTAGAAATACATATCCACGTTCTGATTCTGCAAATAAAGTTATTCTGACACTCACAGGAAAACATGTGCACTTCGACTGTATAAACTCATTTTCTTAGGGGGTTTTATTTGTTATAAAAATTTCAATTGTCGAATAAGAAATAACACTCCATATTATTCGTCAGGAAAATATGTTGTAGTTAGTGAAGGAGGTACTGTAAATAGGTCGACATTGCGTGCCTTTAAGCAATTTCGAGCTAATTTCTTATTGACTTGATTAAATGTCGGAGACTACCTATAAATAAGTAACACGTAAATCTGTGCGTATACAACAGGTACAACGGATAAAACCCTAATTTCCCCCCGGTAAGTGCACAAAATCCCCTGCGGACTTATATTAATAACGGCAGACTAAGGACCACGCTATCACAAACTGCGTTTGTTAGCTTCACGCAAGCGAACAAAAAAAGCAAAACTAATTGGTTACCTTCGTATGGGGTTTTTTGCGTGCGTAAAACGTAACATTAGAATTCGGTATGTTGGAGATAACGCAGACAAAAATTTACGTTTACTATCGGCCCATTTATCGCGGGATTAACTACCGTGTGTAACAGTTCCAATTATTCTCAAAAATGAGTGTAAGTTTAATTGGATAATTTGCACTTTTTTTAAAAATTAATACACAATTGATTTTACACCACCAAATTAAACTTAGAACACAATAAATGATGTATTTATTTAAAAAATATTTATCACCGAAATAAAATACATATAAGATTACGAACAAACAAGTATAAGTTAGTATAGGCTGTGTTATAAGGTAGTAGCATGCTATATTTATCGATCTTTACTTTCTTGGTACATGATTAATGGGGAGGGGGAGATTTACACATAAACATTTAAAGGTCGCATTCAAAATCAACGCTATTTTAATATTGCATTTTTTTGTAGGTACCTTCCTTCAATACTTTCGAGATATTCACAATTAAGTTTTTACAATGCCGATAGATGGCTCTCGTCTAGACGATCTTTCCGCCCTTTGAGAGTACCCTGCTGCGAGTCTCCGTTTTGCAGATATCTGCACTGAAAGCTTTGACTTCGCCGATAGATATGTCTCGTCCAGACGATCCAACAAACAGTTTTCGAGATATTCGCCCCTAAAATGTTGACATCATTTCCAGACGACCCCCTATAATCTGTTCTTGAGAATTACTTGCGATCACGGTAAGGGATCGTTGAGTACCATTATAAGGATAAAACCTTGATGAAGGGTCACAAATAAGGGCTGTAGTTGGTAGAAAATACACTTTAAGGTGGTTAATGACCACAAATATTCAAGGATATTTGGCCGCAAGCAGTAAATAATGACTATTTGAAGCAAGGAATATAGTTATATTTACGGACCCTTTGTGTTCCTTGTTTATCACAGTTGAACACTGTTGTCAAATTTTTCTTATATCGAAAAATAGCTTTATTTTATTTTATGCTTTTGCACCGTAGTCAATCCGTTTTATGGTAGCGATAGTAATTGGAAATTTGCATCAATTTTTTATTTAATTGGCTGTATATATTGTATACATATATACATAACATTGAAATGAGCTTCTCCTGGCAACGTTGGAATTTTAATGAGCTAAAGAATCCTGCAAAGTCGGTAATTAATTCCAAATTTGTGGTTCACTTTTCCCCACAACAGAGGGACGGCTGAATCCTGGGCAGTTTTCCTGATTTTATCAGTTAACACGGGCGTTATAACTAACTCCTTTAAAGTGCTTCTCAATGCTTTCACTTTTAATTAGAATACCATCGTCGCGCAGGAAAGTTATAGTTAACCAACAGTTTTACTTGGCACCACTAAAGGCATACATATGCAAAATCTGAGACCAATTGGTTGTCGGATGTAAAAGTGATGCACGTTTTACTTTTAAAAACAGCATTTCAGGGAGGGCCCCCTTTAAAACAATAAAATCTGATGCGTGTCTGGCACACCTTCATGCCTTAGATTACGAATTGCAAAAAATTCCAGGACTCTAGGACCATTCCCAGAAGTGAGTCTAGATGGACGGACAAAGCAAACATTTTTTATTTTTGTTAAAATCGAAAGATGATCAAAATTTCAATACAATAACCATTTTTTAAATCTGGGTTTACCATTTACCATCAAGGTGGTAAAAGGCGGAAGCGATATCATATTTTAAATTTCCGGGTGGAAAACCAAAGTTAAATTTTACTCAGTAAAAGGTGTCAAGATTAAGTTATTATTAGAGAGTTAGCCATGGATCAACTAAAGTTCTGCAAAACCGAGAATTTTTTGGATACGGTCGATACATCTAAGGGATGGTAAAACCTTCATTTGCAACACCCTCTGCAGATTGAAGATGTATAAAAAAAGCATGGTTTGTTTGGTCTTCTAGATGCCCACACTTAACCTTACTTTATATGCGCTTTTTAATTAATGCAAATGTAGCAGGGAAGCTTGAAAATAAATATGTAAAACTTTTTTTAAATTTTTTAGGAGAAAAGGAAGGCTGTACCCGCAACTACCTCGTTGGTATACGGCAGACCTTGCAGAGTTCAAATTGATTTTCCCATGATGCAGTACTTTAGACAAGCTGAAATTGCGTCGATGTATAGAAGGAGTGGAGTCATGCCACCAATTGAAAGGGAGTTGATATAAAATCAACAAATGAAATAGTTTGTGGATAAATAACAAATACAAATTTCGCTATACAATTTCGTATTACTTGAGAGGTCAGAACTGTACGTATATTAGTTGATGTTGACGTTATTGGAGCATAAATATATAAGCGTCATTCACAGGGTACTCTGTCTGCTGGAGGGTATTCCATACAACCAATTTCTAGAAGGAGTAATTGATTTTTGTCTTCGACAGTAGGGTAGAATTTGAATTTCACAGAGCAACTAGCGTTAATTACTATGTGATCAAAAAAGAGTTGCTGTCGAGTCACCTTTGGAATTTTTGTTTACATGAGAAATCATACGTAACATGAGCTTCCAAAGGCGATTCGACGTCGTTTTCCCGTCATAACAGTGTATAGTTAATTGCGTATATTTCATAAGAGGGTAGAGAATAATTTATATAATTAGTGAAGCAGCATTCGCTTTCCGACAGCGGGCACGTGACAATATTGTGATTTATACGTAAAAATTAGCTAGAATTGGACATTTTAGAAGCCGGTTGGACCTGTAGGTACGGGCTAGGTGAATTATATAAGTGGATGCAAGAAGGGAAGTTCTTAGGCGAAAAATAGCAACACTGTAATATATTTACTTAAGAGGACGTACTTCCGGAATAGCCATAACATAAAACCTTCCATTTCGTAAATTGACATTTGAAATAATCTTGCACTTTGTTTTGACAGCTTGCGCTATTGTTTACTGGACAGCTTTAGTTTGTCTTTCTTTGGTATGTATGTATGTATATTTTTAATTCACTTTTTGGAATTATTGCTGTTCTAAAAGGGTAAGTAAGAAGATTTCTGATGAATTGCATAAACTCTCCGAACATATTGGAGCATGCATTTCTAAATCAATATTTATCAAAATTTTGATTGCAAATTATTGACGATTAATGCGATATGAGTGAAAGCGGAAATGAACAAAATCCTTTCCTATTCTTAAACTATATTTTATCTGAGCCAGTTGAAAGTAAAAGTACAAAAAGGTAAGTTCCAAAAGTACTTCAACATAACAAGACGAAGAAATTTCAAGAAGACTTTACACCACGAACCTGATAAAATCTTCGTCCGTTTGTAAGATACCAGAATTACCGAACCCCCTTTAATTTGTTAGCGCCCGGTCCATACGCTTTGGACGCTTCACTGACGATATTGCGGATTTTTTTCAAATAGTTTAAAGCATGTACGATTTGTGCTAATGATAAATTGCGCAATATTTGTTTTACCACCGATTCATTTTTTAGACTTTTTCTGGTTCCTCTTTTCTTCTTCATTTTACTTCGTATGGACGGTTTAAACTATGACATATTTAAAACAGTTTTTAAAAGGCACTTGAATATGATAGTAACGGATCTTCCGTTACATACTTTAATTAATTATATCATTTTTTGATTTGTATGTTTAATTAATTAAGATCCACTTACTATTATTGCCGTCTAAACAATTCCGGAAAATCTCCCAACAATTTAAAGGTAATGATTGAAACGTCTGTAAAATCTAATGCGTGATTAACGATTTCACAATAAATTGCACCAGCCACATAATTTGTAACAAGCCAATAACACATCTAACAAATTTCGTTAATAAATAAATGACAAAGCCAAAGCCAATTTCGAAAACTAGTTAACATTATTGTTCTATTTATTTTGTATCGTTTAACATGGTAGATACCGTGTTTCTTGCCCATTAAAGTCCTGTAGGGATGTGCGACTACTTACGGTTTCCTTTAAAGGCTTCCAGCTGTGAAAAGGTGTAGTCTCCGATATTTTGTTGTATGGGAAGGTTTGAAATGAATCTGTCATCATTTTCGATCAGAATTTAATTGGCAATGGTTTCCAGATGTCTTGAGCGCCCTTGAGTTACAGATAAACTCTGCAATTGCAACGTAAGGAAGCATGTCGCGAGTGTCTTAAAAATCAACTGAAAAGTCTCCGCGGAGAATAAGTTATCTACACTGTAAAATTATTTCAAGCTATTTGGACGAACCCAACCGGCGGTCAACTAAGCATCTTTTACGTGAGACTCTAATTTTATACGCCAACTTATGTAACTTGTTCTGAGCATGATGCTCACATCTTTTTGCTTACCATATGACAAGGTAGTCAAGATCGAAAAGAATTTGCTTCGGAGAAGAGCAATCTCTCCAAATTCCCTGGAAACCTTCTCGAGAAAACCGGCGTCACCTACAAGTTGCAATACAAGCCCTTCCTAGACTTTCTTGGATGTCTTTTCTGGTATCTCCAGAACTTCGGTTCTGTATCTGCGAGTCCTCTCCTTGGCGGGCATATCCTTGAAGGTAATGTTCCGGTTTGGTCCCCGTACGTGTCACTGGATACTTGAGTGGGATGGTGCCGCACGCAAGCATCTCTTGGTTAGCCGTCGTATACAAGACCATATCCGGATCGTGCGGTGCTTTAAGTGTCAAAAATTCGGTCATAGCTCTTCCGACTGCCGATGTCGTCACAAAATCGCGAACACTAATTATGGACAGTGAGGAAACACTCAGACCTCTCAGGTTTGAATGTCCAAAATTCTCGAGTTGCGACCTTTGAGGCATTGAGGTTCCATTTTGACATTGACATCGACGTCTTATTGATGCAAGATCCCTATAAAATGATTTCGAGCACTGAATAATTCTTGTGTACCTTCTCCGCGGTGTCACGATCCTCCAGAGGTAGACGAAACTGCAGAGAGGCTGGCAGAGTTTGTCCATCATACGAGTCAAGTATCCCTTAAACGGAGGATCCCTACTGCTCGACCCGGTGTAACATCCTGGTGGTGTGAAAGACTGGACAGACTGAAAAAGGTAGTGCGCCTATTTAGTTTTCGATCGTGGTAGCGTTTTGTCGATCGCATGTCGGCTAACCCGTGGGGAGTAGTGTATTGCATATCCTTTCAAAAGCAAGCTCCCTTCGACCCTTGTTCTAATGTCCGCGACGGTGACGGATACACTGTTCCCGAACAGCAAACGATGGATACGGTTTTGAATATCCTCTTTCCTGACGACGATCCGTCAGAAGAGGAACCCCCCAATACCTAAGTGCGTTCCCGACAATTCAACTTGAACTCCAGACAAGACTGGGTGGTCACTAGGCATTAGCGCCAGGAAGCCCCAACGGACTGGACGAAATTCACGAAAACATACTAGGAACGTTGCTGGAGACCCTTCCTGACATTTTCGTCGAACTATTCAAGCCCTGTTAGTATTGGTCCTGTGTTGGAAAACTGGAAAACTTATAACTAATCTACAACCCCGTAGGAAGGATATCACCAACCCCCCTCGCACAAACCGAAAACCTTATTACCCGAAATTGGAAACCTATTCGAGAGAATTCCTCTCCGAAGAAATTCACCCTTAACGACTTTTCCATCCCAACCAATATGGCTTTATTCCCGGACGAAAGTCGACCGACTGTGTGCAAAGAACTAGTAAACAGGTCAGGACGAATGCTCATAGGTATTTGTTAGTGATTTTCGTCGACATTTCCGGAGCATTCAACAACGCACGGTGGTCGTCTGTAATGAATGCTCTCGCCGTCAAGAGAATCCTCTTGGCGTTACTCACGTCATTCGCTATTCTACGGATCGCTCGATCCGTCTTTCTTCCAGAGCCTCGAAGATGTCCATTTCTAAGTGTGAGTAAAGGTTGCCTCCAAGGTTCGGTCTTGGGGGCCTACGCTTTGGAACCTTGTTATAGACTTTCAGGCAAGGCCTACCGCACCCCAACGTAGACATTTTCGCCTATGCGGATTGCTATCACCGTGTCCGCTAACAACAGGCGCGACCTGGAGGCAAGAACCACCCTATGTCTCTAACGACTGATGGACCGGGCGGGCAGTGCTCCAAACTGTAAAGAAATCCGGTTAATCTGCAGAGTTTACGAATTTCAAAGACCTGATACTGTTATTAGACCACAAGCTCTTCTCCGTCGAGCATCGCTCTCATCCAGTCAAAAGAGGTAAAATCCTGCTTCATCCACTTTGCAGATTCACGCGCCTAAAATGGAATCTCCCAAAGATGTCACTAGAGTTCATTTTCTTATTTTCCGACAAGCGGGAGTACAGTGAGCCTGGGGAACTCCCTACGTCAATTCAATCTGTAGTTAAGTTTACGATTTGTTTCTACAATTTATATTGTTAATATTGAAAAGATTTTTCCTACATCATAACGTATAATTTAGAGGCACCCATTACCTACCCCCGTGCGCAATGAAAAAATTAGATACGTACGTTTGGAAGTGATAATTATCCACAAACGTCAAAACTGTGAACAGACGCCCTTTTGGGTTTCGCCTTATTTTTATTTCGAAATTCACGGGGGCCGTAGAATAAGTATGGTTCGTAATTTGCGTATTACAGGTTGGTAGAATTGGCGCAATCATCGCGCGCAATTTTTCTTCTCGCCTGTAATACGCGCTATTACAACCTTATAATTATAATAATAATAGTACTTCTTTTTGTTTGTTTTTAGTTTTTATTTTATTACATAATAATAATATTTTTTGTTTGTTTTTAGTTTTTATTTTATTTTATTCTATTTTATTTGTATTTTTTTTAAATTATAGAATTTAGAACTCGACTAGACGAACGACGTACAGACAAACACTAATCGCTTGATTTTAAACCGTGCGATTAGTTAACCAGGCTAGACCAGAGTTCTGACAAGAAACACTTGACCATAATAATAATAAATGACTTTTTCAGACAATTTCTACAGAGCCTGTCTAAATGGCGTAGTTCAGGCAGGGATATTATCCGTGTCTGCCGTTCTACTCAACCCTTAATTTATTTAATGTTAGTATATTTAATTAGACATACAAAAACTGAAATAAAAAAAATGGAGTAGTACATTTAAAACTCAAACAAGACAATAATGCATAAAGGTGCTATAATTAGTTGCACGCAATAGTTGCATTGCGAACAGCCTTCAGCAGCGTCACATTTCAAAATTGTGCCTAAACCTTTCGTTGCGTATCTACCTCTATTCGACGAACATGC